GTTCAAAACCATCATCCACTCTGCACGAGAAACACTCTGTAACTCCGGTTAGAGTCCCAGCCTCAGGAATCCCCAGGGCAATGCCCCCTTGTCCTATAGAGTCCTTAGAGTCTGAAGTGACGCGGTGGCAGTGAGTTTGGTTCTGGTTTTGTACGTGTACACACTTTCTTACCTCCCAGCCAGGGGCCACAGGTGGACCAATCCCCTCTAAGTAGGCCACAGATGCTTAATTTGCATATCATGTAGGACTGGGTTGCAATTTGCCTCATTTGCATAACCTCTTCACTAATCCCTGCAAGATGCATATTATTAAGGACAGGTTGCAGCCCAGGGCCAGACAAACCTTTCAAACGATCTTATTGTTCACAGCTTACACAGGAAATGCCCATCAGCATGGGCAAAGGTAACAAATCCTTAGGGATAGAGGAGTGGAACAAAGCAACCTTTTTCAGGTTTTAGGGGACACATCTTCAAGCTGTTTTCGAAAGAGTCAAGGCAAAATCACATAAAGGGATGCATTTCCCTATAGCAAGTCTTTCTCCCATCTAGCCACTGGTGGTTTCAGAGGTTTCCCTTTGAGTCAGCAGCATGAGCGCTTAACTGTTGCTCCACCAGGGATCCGTGTACAGTACTTAGTGAAGGCGAATAAGCACAGATTAGATGAAAGAAGATAACGCCTCTGCTCTGACAGCAGGATACAGAAAAGTGTCTATTCAGAAAAGAGTGTTATCTTTGAGGTATCTATGTCCAGTTAAGGATAGAATAAAGAGAAGAAATAAAGTGGATGTAAAGTGAGGGGGTGGATTAAACCGTATTTAATGGAGCTGGGCTAGCTGAAGGGACCCTGGTGTGTGACAGTCAGCCACGTGTAAGCCTCGGAGTCCCACTCACTAAAACTCTCCGTCCGACGGGTACTGGGGCCCAATGGATCCCTGACCCCTCTCCCCTGCACACTGAGGAGCCATCAGGGCACGACAGTGTTCTGATCATTTTACTGGAGCTTTCTCGGAAGCTCCTGAAGGCTCAGTATTGAATTTCCTAAAGTTCAATCCCTGTGAGCAGGCCAGCTCCTAACATGTGTGGGGCCTGGGACAGAAGTACCCATGGAGACCTCCATCCCTTCAATCAAAACACATAGGAGTTAAAAATCAACCCAACAACCTGTTAAGTGAAGTGGCGTT